CCCTACGATGACATCGTCAAGAGTTACCTCAACCCGCCGGACCGGAGAGTCAAGTCGGTGGCCCTGAAAAACCACTGTTTCGTCGCCGTGCAGGGGCCATTCAAGCAAAGTTCGGGCGGAGACGGCGCCGTCATGGGTCACTCCTACAACAACTTTCGCACCAAGGAGGTCTACCGTATTTTGGTGGCTTCCTCCACAAATGAGCGCATTGAAAAGTGTCTCAACTACCTCAAGGAGACCTTCCCACACTCCTGCCTGAAAGCAACTTCGAGGATGTTTTAGCTGCGGCGATCAACCTCCACGCATGTGTGTGTGTTCTTCATCCATTACTTTTTGGGTTTTGTGGATATGGAAGGGCAAAACTACGTGTTCATTTGCATATACACACACTGATAAATTTCATTCAGCCTAGAAGTTTGTTTCCATCTGCTGGAAGTCTAGTCAATTACACGCCTTTTAACTTTTTCCTCCCGTGTGTGTTTTCGCTTGAGGTTCGATAACACACTTATTCCACTAACTCTTGCGTGTATGGATTGAGCACAGAAAATCCACTTTTGTCCCAGACAGATTTGCTCAAAAATCGCTTGTGCAGCCGCGATTATTTGGATGCAAGTGGGTGTGTGCGAGTGGAAGTCGGTCAAGTGTCTGCAGGCCAGCGAGTCTGAAACCCCCGCTGCGAATTCGCATGACCTTGAGACAGTGGAGATCGAACAAGAACGTCGGACAGTAAAGTGGGCTGTCAGCCACATCGACTTCGTTCTCTCTCTTTTGCCTCCCTTAGGTATCAATCTAGTATTTGAGCCGGTCAGTCAACTAATGTGAAGAGGGAACGCAGTGACTGAAAGAGTCCATCAAGCTGTCTACGCGTGCCACACACGAACTGGCTTCCAGTAAAACGCGCCAAGTTTTTCCACAACTGACATCTGGGACCTCAATAATTCAGAACACCGTAGAGACCATGTGGAGAGGGAGCCAGGGAACTCATTTCAATCTAACATGCAATGCGACGATTCCGTTCCTGTGAAGGTTGATGGGGGGGGAGGGACGTGTGTGGTGTATTTGCGGGTGAGGAGATGTATGCCGTGAATTTACGGATGGCCGAGTAGGTTTAAGTGGAAGCAGCGCAACCAGCTGAGGTGAATGCGACGGGCGCTGATCCGCCAGTTTCTGTGAAGTTAACTCACAAGCGGTCGATCAGGCCAACCGGTGGCAATACGCATAGGAACTGCTGATTCGGTTACGGGGCTAATTGCGTTAGTGTTCTTTGCTCTGGTGTGGGGAGGAAGTTAGCAGTGCAGTAGAGTGGGCTTGGTGTGTCAATATTGCGATGTCGCCAAAGTTATATATAATAATACTACTGAATAATACTTAGCAGTGTTAATGTATGTGTTTCGCCGATCTAGTAGAGAAAGAATTAAGTCCCGCTTTGCCCAGGAGCTCGCAACGCAAACCCTCCAGATAATATTAAATGGGGGTGCCAACCCTCGAGATTGGGTATGACTGGCTGATGATGGCTAATAA